GACAATTTGGCAATGACGAATATTAATAATGATTTAAACAAAAAAGCTGCTTCAAAACGTGACGGCAAAAAGAGGCATTGAAGGATGAAAATGAATCTTACCGATTCCGAAGCAACAGTGCAGAATGGGATTAAGAATGTCAGAAGAAGAAATGTACAATAGAGTCACCTTTTTATTTAGTTTAAAGGTGGTCTAAATACCACTTTTTCATTTAGTATCAAGGTTGTCCATAAATCTTTTTTATTTAGTATAAATATGATCCAAATATCACTTTTTATTTCGTATTAAGGGGTCCAAAAATCAGTTTTTATTGAGTATAAAGGTGGTCCAAATATCTTTTTTTCTTGAGTATAAAGGTGATCCAAATATCATTTTTTATTGAGTATAAAGGTGGTTCAAATATCACTTTTTTTTAGTATAAAGGTGGTCCAAAATATCTCTTATTATTGAGTATAAAGATGGTTCAAATATCACTTTTTTATTTAATAAAAAGGTGGTCCAAATAACACATTTTCAAAAACATGTACACCTTATAGATGAAACAGTGTTCATTTAGGGGAAAGTCACATGAATTTGTTAAAATTGCATAAATTTTACCCTCTCAACAGAAAAAGTTTGATGCTTTGGTGAAAATCAGCAAAAAGTTAATTTTCTAGGTTCAGATTTAGAATGCATTGGGATTTAACATTATTTACTCTCTAAAAACATCGAGTGACTTTGCTTGATATTGCGATATGAAAATTTAAATTATATGACACTTGAACGTATTTTATTCGAATCGAATAATTTAAAACGCTACCCTATACAAATGTTAAAATATGGGTATTGGCATGTATGATTAGACAGCTTAATGCAGTCAATGCTATATCTTTATAAGTGTCTGTGATATACAGGTGCAATATAGTACCCCCTGTAGATTTTATTAGGGGGAGGGGTATGAGAAATGCTCTTAGCAGAGTTGCCAAAGAGTGCCGCCCGGCATTCGGTGGTTTTGAGGTTCCAAACCTCTATTTATGATGGAAAGTTTGAAAAATCATTGTAATCTAAAGAAAACGATCAGTTTGTAACTTTCTGCCAGAAATTTAATTATTTCAATTTGTTAAGTCCTTTCCGAGAGTGTTGAACACAACGGGCTCGGGCTAACATTTAGTGAGGATGATTTTATGAGAGTGATAACGATGAAAATGAGTGATAACGATGCATTATTGTAATTGTCTTTCACGAATGTCTTCATGATTCTAAGATAACAATATATCCGATCTTCAAAAGAAATATAGTTTCAATGTCTGTTTTTATATTGATGGCTCGAGTTAGATGCGATGAATTCAAGCGCCCTTTTTAATTCATACGCTTCTTTAATCTCTCGATTTCTTTCTCATATCTTTCAATTATACAGGGTGATCAATAAATAAGGTAAAAGTATCTGGCATTTCTTCAAATTTTACCCAATCCTCATAAACTTTGCACAGAATAATGTTCAAACATTATTGAATTGATATATCAAGTTACAGATCAAAGTGATGTGATTGGTTGAAGTTATAGTTGCCATAGCAACAGAAAGCATGATGACCCGGGGCAACAATCAAAAAACTAAATTTTCAGTCGAAACACTTTTGATAATATATTTCAAATCACAATTGAGAAATGGCATATCATATTCTTATTTCATACTTCATAACTACTCTACTTAATGTCCTTTAATTTGTTTTTAACATATAGTTTATGTCTTCTACTCCAGTCTTTGGACACCTTTAAAACCCATTTTCCCATAGCCTGCAAATTTTCAAGACAACTGGCTTCAAGTCGTCCCATGAGAAACTCTCTCAACTCCCTCTTCAGCTCACCATGACAGTAAAATCATAAAGGGACAAGTCAGGAGAGCATAGTACATGACTTAACAGTGGGAAACCAAGTGCTTCAATGGTTTGTACCATGACACTAGCATTGTGAGATGGAGCATTATCCCAGTGCAATGTGAAACGTTTTGCAGGCCTCTTAGTCTTAGCTTCTTCCTCTTTTCTTCTGTGGGTATTATTTTTCATCATTGACCTGTGTCATAGACTTTCTATGATCACATCAGATTTCATTATATATTAATCTTTTCCATGACATCAAACATCGAATTTGCAAGAAAATATGTAACAATGTAAACAAAGTATTAAAACAATTAATGCTGGCACCCACGTTTATTTCTTTTCAGTTTGAAAAAGAGGTGCTTTTTATCAATTTTTGTTCAAATTGGACGCAATGAAATTGCCCCGGGTACCCCCGACTCCAGTTGCCATAGTAACTATAATATTAACCAATCAGATGGCAGAAGTTATATATTTATCTGTTTTAATTAAGAAATGTACAAGGTATATTCTGACCAAATTTCAGGATGTTTGGACCAATATTTATAAAATGCCAGATACTTTTACCTTATTTATTGATCACCCTGTAATGTTTCTCTCCACTATTAGTTTCCATTTATTCTCTAATTCTTGTTCTTTCTTTGCGCTGCTCTTTTTGGTTTCTGCAATTTCTTCTTCCAAGTGCTGTACGGTCATTCCACATATAAGCAGACATTCGTGTCGCCAAGGGTTTTTTCTCAAGCGTTAAGAGATATATATAGAAACTTTTTAAGAACATCTACTTAGGACCAATACCCACTTGTACAACCACCAAACAGCAAATTTTAATTGTTTGGTAGTAAGTGAGAATTTTTTCTAACTTAATTTGATGACAAATTCCTCAGGTACGTTATGTCGCCAGAGTGCATAGTGATGTTTTATAAGCATAACTGAAGTAGTTATAGATTTCAGAACACATCCAAACTTCTTGAAAAGATACCTGTGGGTGTATACTGTATTTTACAAACGTTTCGAGTAATTTAATCCTTTCTAACCTAATAATCAGATGCTCGGAACCCATGTCGCCAGTTTTTTTCTAAAATACCACTTTAGATATTTTAATTTCTGGAGAATGCACGAATCACTGAAATGTTTAACCCGAAGTGATATTTCATCAGAAAATGATTTATCAAAATGCATGCAAAGTTTCAAAACTGTATTCTATCCAGAACAAAAGTTATAGGTCATAAAGGTGTCATTTTTCAATTCAAAAGATAAGGATTTTAAGGTACGTTACAACATTTCCCAACATTTTGTACAAGTTTGATGGAATTAGTAAATAAATTCTTGAATATGACAAGGCGGACATTCAATATAATGTGCTCATTACCTTTGTTCGCTCTGTTATATTGCTTTATTGGAACATGTAATGAGTTTTCCTCATGTACGTTGCAATAAGGTACGTTACGGAAAGTGCGAAATAAGTTGATTACCTCAGCAATAAATGCTGGAAACTCAGTGGAGGAGATCATCCCGTGATCCCATGATACGCCATACTTTATTTGCAGTCAAAGGAAATGGGATTTCATCCTAATAATCCCTAAATAATACAGCAATCGCGTAAGTACAACACCTGTATCTTTTGCCTAAGCAAAGCTGGTTAATCAGCGATCTAGGATATCCCGATTCGGTTGAAAGATATTCTAAATAAACAACTTAATTGGTCATTGTTAAAAAATGATGTCAACTTTTTTCCCAAATCACATACGACTTGAGTTTTACATCAATTAAGGTACGTTGCTTTTGATAACGTCGCTTAATACTTGTTTTATTTCTGTCTTAATAGTGGTAACTAACCCGGGAATTCACAATTTGTTGCAGAATATGGCTAAAACTAAAGCAGAAATTCTAAAAAATTATAGAGAAAGAAAGAAAAGAATCGAGGGACAAAAATACCTTGAAAAGGAACGTATCAGAAGAAGATGGAAAACAATTGAAATAATATGATGATGAAAATCGCCGCCAGTGACATGCAATTGATCTTGCAAAAGTGGAGCACATCTACAGTGTGTCTCAAAAGAAATGTTACACTTACAAAAAGTTCAATATCTTTCATAATTTTGACTTTTCCCCTAAAATATACTTTGGATACCAAAAGACAAATCTTTCTCAAATAATTTGACACCATCAGATTCAAAATCTGTCCTTGATTGGCTCCTGGGGATAGCTTTTAATGTCCCATGGTCAAACCTGACTTGCGCCAACTTCTAAGTGATTGGATGGACCAAATGACAAAGGAGGAACAGTTTCTTTAACATTTAACTTTCTTCTGAGTAGAAGCTTGACTTTTACCTGAGTCATTCTGTAATTTTCCTATTTGTCTTACATATGATCATTGGGTCTATCCACATAAACATGATGAAGAAACATGAACATGTTGAGGTCCCCTCAACATGCATGTTCTCCAAAGCAAATCTGAGATACCCTTGCTTATGCATTGTAATATCACACTGATTCTATCAATTGTTTTTGCAGAAGTTCATAAGGTCAGTTTGCGATGATGTAAAGCGCTTTCAGAGGCCCTTCAAAAAATAAAGGGTGTTAAGTGGGGTGACCCTGGGGGCCAATCCATTTTGTAATTCAATGCTATCTTCTGATTTCCAAAGAGATCTACCAAACAATCTGCCACAAGCTTTTGTACCATCCTGTTGCCATCATAACAAAATTGAACACTCTGACAATGAAATCTTGTATTTTTATCCAGAAAAGAAACAACTGGATCATTGATCATATCAAGCATCCACACCAAAAAAGAATTGATCACCACATATCCAACCACTGAGAAATTGACGCAAATCAGATTTCACATGAGTCTATAAAATCTGTCCTGTGCAGTCAATCATGGACGGATTTTGAATCTGATGGTGTGAATTTATTCGAGAAAGACTGGTCTTTCGGCATATAAGTATATTTTGGGGAAAAAGTCAAAATCATGAAAGATATTGAACTTTTTGCAATTGTAACATTTTTTGAGGCACACTGTAGTGAAAACGTTGGGTAAAATCTTAAGCTTATTCCAGTGAAGTAGACATTTGACATTTGTAAAGGAACGAAATGTCTTAGATTTAAGCGACGTTCTCTTTCATTTGCCTCTACTATGAAGCATTTTATGTTTTGTTGTTTTGTTGTTTAAGAAGTTGTTATTGTTTGTAGTTGGTCATATCACGAGTTTATATTCTTCTAAACAAATAAGTAAATGATATTGATCGAGTTAAAATGTTTTGATAATGATATTAAGATACGTTATTATTTTCAAAGTAATTTTGTATCTCTATTAAAAGATATAAAATGGTTTATGGTGACAATTCAATGGACAGGAGCTTGTGTTTTAAGACTTTGGACATATTCGAGAAAGATTCGTTGGATTAACAATTGCGTCAATTTTTACTTTAAGCGACGTTGTTTTGCACTGACAAGTTTAACTTATTTCTGATTATTACTAGATGTCTTTGCCACATACAAATATAGGATGATTTGAAAGCGAAATCCCACAGTTTCATTGTATGCCCAAAATAACTTCTCACATGTTGTGTTAAACATCATGAGAAAACATGACAGTGTTGCGTTTTGTAAAACATCTTTTTGAGAAGCGACTGCATTTATGCATTACAACGTACTTTTATGTTATTTCTTGATTAAAATGCTTAGTGATTTCCCAAATGCAATTTATAGTTTTGTTTCTTAGTGACCTATAGAATAGAGATTACCAGAGGAAGACATCGCATATCAAGTTAGCTAAAATCTCCATAGAATAAAAGAGGTATCGAGAACGAATCTTAAACTATACGCTTTTTATAATTTTACACCTCTTATTTTCAAAATAGTGTAACTTTTGATATATAAAAGTTAAAATGCCAAAACTTGGGGATTTTATAGAGGATACATAAAACAAAATCAAAATCTGAAAATGAATGCAATGAAACGAAGTTCATTTTTCAAAAGTTTGGAACCTTAAATGTCTCCTTATATGTGGAATGACCGTGTAGCTCTTCAGCTCTGGATTGAAGTACCTTTTGCTTCAGCTGAACGCTTCTATTGAATTCCAATTCTAGATTCTTCATTTTATGAGTTTTAACTGCCAGGTCTTCCTTAAATTCTTCCACATCGTGTACCTTTTGCTTTATCTCCTCATCCTCCCTGATAAGTCTTTTCCGTTCCGCTTCATTTTTCCTATCTTGCTCCTCCTTCTTTTTTCTTTCAATCATCTCATTTTCTTCCTCTTTCATTATTTCTGCAAGGCGATGTTTATCAGAACAGAAGTTTGTACCAAGCCCCCATTCGTGTATAGCATTGTAAAGACGAGATGCTTCGGCCTTCTTATCTTTAGATCTGTTGTCGATTACAAACATTCTCCCAGAAAATTGTTCAAGAAGCTTCGCGATTACCGGTCTTGTTTTAACCGCTTCGGAAAACAATTTCTCACATTCTTGTCGATATTCTTCCTCACTAAAGTCATCGTTCATGTCATGTTTTATGGCATCCCCATTGGTAAATAGTAGGATGGCAAAGCTAGTAAACCTTTCCCCAAATAGTTTCTTTATTTCAAAGATAACATCCTCGTCTGCCTTTGTAAAACGGTTGAATTTTAACACAATCAGGAATACATGTGGACCAGGAGTTGCAAGTTGTAGTGACGCTGCGATTTCTTTCCTTATTTCGTTCTGATCTGCACCAGTATCCATAAATCCTGGTGTGTCGACAATCTTGTAAGACATTGAACCGTTGATATATGTATTACAATCACAATCTGATGTGATTGAATTAACACTTGCCTCAGCTCTGAAATACCTCCTTCCACCCATTAGAGTGTTAGCCGTCGAACTCTTACCGACCCCAGTCTTTCCAATAAGAACAATTCGCACTGGCGTACCTGAAAATGAATCTTTATTTGTATGTATATATGGACTAAGGGAAGCTATCTGAAGAAAGATGTGTGTAGTTGTGTAGTGAATACCCTGGTCGCTCAAATGTTAGGGAGGCTGATCCCATTCATCCATTAGTATCATAACAAGATTAATTAACCTAATTCGAGTCGATTTTACACTAAACGGTATATCTTTAGAAATTTCTGTGAATTCATTGATGGTATCCTCAAATTGTCATTCAAAAGTATTATCTAACATATGAATGCTAACCTTGATATTTCGGTATATTAAGTGGGCGCAATATTTCCTGATTTTCGTCAGGCTGCCCCAATTGCTGATGGCAAAGAGAAAGGTAGTCATCTAATGCTTTGAATGATTTCGCCCTTACATCCGGGTCGTCGTTTCCTGTCAGAGCAAAAATATAATGGTGTTAATGTATAATAGGGTGTCAATTAAGTCTCCACACGCGTACTTTTACTTTGTATTACAATAAAGAGACTTGATGGACACCCTGTACTTTGATTACTCGCTATACAGTGTGGTTAACAAATTTTGGAACACCGATTAATCATATGCAGGATATCGTTTTCGCTGAGATACATTTATACATATAAGTATGGTTCAGTCAATTTTATCTCCAGTAAAACTATACACTGGGAGATATGCTGAGTACTACAATAACGCAAAATTAGTACTAAATTAGCACTCTGGCAAAAGCGCGCTCATGAGCACTCATGCCCTAAGAGCTAATTTAGTACTAATTCATGATATGAGTACGCATTTAGTACTAAAACATGCACTTAATCAGTGCTCATAGTATGAGTGCTTATTGACTAATAAAAAATCAATGAAATTAGTGCTATTTTATCACTCATCATATGATAAATCATTTAGTACTAAAAATGCAATAAATCAGCACTTATGTCATTAGTGCTCATTTAATACTAATATTAACTGAAATGAGTACACAATTAGCGCTATTGCCATGAGTACTATTTTAGTACTCAGCATATTATCTCCTTGTGTAGTTGGAATAGTATGGTAATGTAATAGTCACTCTTTTACAAAATTTCTGATGTCATAAGTCATGTTCTGATCCATTATTCGCAGCTTCATTGAGGTTTTTGTAATGTATTGAAAACCACGTGGTCAATCGAATTATTCTGACAACTGGCCGAAGCATGATCTTTTACAAAGAAATAATTTAGCACAAATTACTTCCTAACTTGAAATCTACTTCAATTTTGACAAAATAAAGCACTCTTTGCAATGGCTATTTTACTTATAGTTTTGTATGAATTCTGTTGGAATCCAGTTCTGATCCAATACGAAGTTTTCGAAAAGGGCGCAGAAGATAGTTTTTCTTCAAAGTTTAAATTAAGGCTTCTAAAAATTATCTGGCATAGTCTTAACCTTCTGATATTTTCAATTCACGCACCTCCATTTTGTTTACTTAAAGATTCAAAATATCACTTGGGAACTGACCGGAGCTAGGATTGCTATCGAAGCAGATCAGTTAGTTGCACTGAATAATCAAAACGTTTTCAGATATGGTATCAAATTTTGTTATTGTATACTATTTATTGTATTGTATACTACTTTTACTGCATACTTGTGTTATGGCATTTATATTGTAATCTATTAATATTATATATTTATATGTTTTATATGATCTATAATTCATATTTCAATGTTGAATTGTTGTTTATTATTGTTACAAGCTCAAGATCACAATGTTCTATATACACGGTGTTATAGCATGACGGTTATATACGACAAGGCGATTTGCAAAATTTTGCAGTAATGATACGAGAAATGACGTATGGGAAAAGTAGCATGTCCTCTTTTTCGCCTGTTGGCAAGATTCACAGGTAAGATTTCCTTTTCAACTAGTTTTATTCGGTGACGTATAAATGGATGTTATAAGGACTGGGTCATATCTGCTAGGTGGTCTACAAGAAGCAGAATATTATAAGCTGTATATAAGCCTCAGAGCCACTCAAAATATTAACTGTAAGTACACTGTGTATAAACAAGCCATAAAATGACAAATCCAGATTAGAAACGTGGTGTATATTGTAAATAATAAGGTTCATTGTCGTTAGACGACTACGTATAATTTCTATCGAATTCTATGGACGGTAACGTATTTTACAGGGTGACCCAAAAAAATGCAACCCTCCATTTCTTCAATATTTTTCTTAAATGGAGATTAATTGTTCAGAAATTCGGCACACAAGGACTTCATTCAATGTGGGATCCTCTGGCAAAGTGTTATTAACCATAGTCTTATATTGATAGAGTTATGGTTGTTTCAAAATATGCTCCAGATGTCATCAATTTCCCTGAAAACAAACTTGGAATGTTCAAGGAAAACTGTTCATAACACGGAAGCATTCTTCCCCATGGGTATGGCTCAAATTTTTGCAGCCATTGCTTATTGGAGTTCTGCATTTGCGGTAGGGTTATTTCCATACACATTATCCTTTAAATAACCCCATATATAGAAGTCAGGGGCATTGAGATCAAGACTGTGGGATAACCATGGGTTCTCCGTCCTAGGAGAGATAATCTTCTCATAGAAATGACTTTTGAGCCAGGCTATGCTATCATTAGAAGTGTGAGGAGTAGCTCCATCCTTCTAGAACCACTGTTCTTGTCTATTGAAGCCTCTATTTCACTCTTGAACTGCCTAGAACTTCCTGGGAACGCCAATATTGTGCTGTGTGTTAACAGTAACAGTGTTGCCATTATCAACCTCAAACCGAAAGGGGCAGATGATTTCATGTTTAGAAATTGGCATCCCCAGCTGTGCATTTAGCAGAATGAAGGGGCCTTTGAAGCACTTCATCTGGAATTTGTGATCCCAGAAAACATTATTTCCTGAGTTTACATGTTCAGAAAGAAGGGAATGTGATTCATCCAAAAACCTAACATTGGAAATGGATGACATTTGGAGCATATTTTGGAACGACCATAACTCTATCAATATAAAACTATGATTATTGAAACTTTGCCAGAGGATCCCACATTGAATGAAGTTTTTGTGTGCCAATTTTAAGAGCAATTAACCTTCATTTAAGAAAGATATTGAAGGAATGGATGGTTGCATTTTTTGGGTCACCCTGTATTATAGTTGTACATTAGATATTTAGCGGACGGTTACGTGCATGTACACCTTTCAAGTCAAGATTGCTAGATCTGATAGCCACTTTCCATGCTATTGTTATAATGGATAAGAAATGGAATATTGAATTTCTTATATTTGTTTCCAGGACTCGCAAGAGACGTTCTTGTTTGAGCTTCTATAGGGCAAGGAAAAAACGGTGGCTTGCTTTATTTATGAAACCATTGAGAGTGAAAAAGATAGCAATGAAGAGGCAAAGAAGATTTAGCATCAAGTACTAATGAAGATGACAAAAATAATAACAATGAATCGGGGTTTCATATTTGAATGAGGTTGCGTAACCATCAATTTTTTAAGTAACCTCAAATTCAAAATACATTATTATGGCTCGAGTAGAACATATTTGGTGGTTTCAAATGCTCAATTGGCTTTGTATGATCGTATGTAGGTTACATCTATATACCCCAAGGTTGTTAGTCAATGTAGACCATGCCCTAACGACAAAAAATTCACACTCGATAGTTTTTTGCTTATTTCAGGTTATCCCCGGGCATCAATTTTTTCAAGACTATGTTCAAAATATACCTTACTGAATGCATCACCGAATGCGATGCTTACATAAATCGTTCATCCTTTCATTGATACATAGTTGTAGAAAATAATTCAACAACCTTAGTTTTCTGTTCCATCGCGGCTATTTTATTGGACAAATCAGTGAACGTAGACGTCCAACCTCGTTTTCAGAGGTGGCGTAACCGTCATGCTATAAAAGGGCGATATATGTTCTAATAATATCATGTTTTTGTCAACATAACTGATGAGTCATACACGTGTGACTGAAATGAGCTAAACATAGATGAAAATAAGACATAAACAACATGTCATGTGACTCTGGAGAACATTCCAATTTCTAAAGCTACGTTCACACCAATGGCGCTTTGATGGCGCTTTAAAACGGCGTGTAAAGCGTAACAAAACTTGATTAAAGCGTCGGGGTCGTAATAGTTCGTAGCGGGATATTCAGCAAGAGCGCCAAACATTTTTAAAGCTACTTTCACACCAACGGCGAATGCCACGATTTAAATTGTTTACTTTTCCAAAAATATCACGATTTCCTAAGTAATGTTACACTCTGATAAGCTCTGATACGCTCTGATTTCCCGACTTGTTACGGTTCCTCAAGCTATGATCCCGCTTCGACCAGGCTTTGTTACGCTTAAAATCACGCTTTGGTAAGCATTATTACGGTTTGATGCGAGTATGACGCTTTAATCAGGCTCTGATACGCCAAGCTCTGTTGTGCATTTTCGAGATCGCTTTTATCTGACGCATTTGATCAAATGGCTATATAAAGATGCAGTAGATCCATAAAACCATTGCATCTTTGACTCGAGAAGACGATGGCAGAACAACAAGATCCAGAAATTCCAGATGGACCAGATCATGACCTATCTGAAGAAGACATGATGTTTGTCGCAGGGCGTGAAAGAGCGTGGGAAAGCGTGAGGAAGCTTGTCAAGCATAACAAAGCTTAATAAAGCGTTTCAATCCTTGATTAAAGCGTCTCAATTCGTTAAAAAGCTTGAGAGTCCTTCATGAAAGCGTAACAAAGAGTGTCAGATATTGATGAAAGCGTCTGACCTCGTGTCAGATCTTCATGCCAGATCGTAGCAAAGCTTGAGACATCTAAACGAAGCGTGTCAAGTGGTAACAGACCGTGAAGAGACTGGGGTCCCCGCTTTGAACCAAGCTCTGTTAAGCTTTCCTACGCTTTGGGTCAAGCTTTGTTACGGTTTGTTAAGCTTTGATACGCTCTCGGCGATTTGTTAAACTTTCATAAGCTCTCGGCGCTTTAATCAATTC